TATGAATATCAAATCTAATAAAAATGAAAATCATTATACAAGTTGGCAATGATTTGATTAATATGAGAGAAAGGTATCGGACTGATACCCCGAATGGCGTCGGAGGGGCGCCTGAAATATTGCATTGTCTCCCATACTCTGAGCCTTTGGTGTGCGAAATGGCTGGATGTAAGGGTTGAAGATACTATAGAATTCGTGTATAACACGGGCACGAAATAATTATATTGTCGACCTCAGATCAGACGAGACGACCCGCTGAATTTAAGCATATAAATAAGCGGAGGAAAAGAAACCAACAGGGATTCCCTTAGTAGCGGCGAGCGAACCGGGATGAGCCCAGCGCCGAATTCCGCACTCTTTGGGTGTTGGAAAATGTGGCGTATAGGAGTGAGCGTTCCGGAGGTTGACTCTGCAGCAAGTCCCCCTGACCGGGGCTGTTACCCAGAGCGGGTGCGAGGCCCATAGCTGCTAGGTCTCCTTCGGATGCGATCTCCTGGGAGTCGGGTTGCTTGGGAGTGCAACCCTAATCGGGTGGTAAACTCCACCTAAGGCTAAATACTGCCGTGAGACCGATAGCAAACAAGTACCGTGAGGGAAAGTTGCAAAGAACTTTGAAGAGAGAGTTCAAGAGTACGTGAAACTGCTCAGAGGTAAACGGGTGGGCCCTCGAAATCCTGTGGCGGGAGGATTCAGTTGGGCTTCCGTGGCAGCACTGGCCGACTGACCAAAACGGATCCCAGAACTGGGCCGGGTCGGCTGTGCAGGTTACGGTTCTCGACGCATTTTCTCCCGCTCTGAGGACGCCGTAGCCGGTTGGGAAGACTCGACGGACTAAAGGACGTGCGTTGGCAGGTGGCCGGTGGCGTGGCTTCGGCTGTGCCGTCGGTTGTTAGCCTGTTCGTCCGGTCTCGTCGCCCGACCGAGGTTTTTGCGGTCCGGATGGACCCTATGCAATGTCCGCCTCCTCCCTTTAGCAGGAGAGCCGGGATTAGAACGCAGCAAGCGTTCGTTGATGGTGCGGTCGCACTCTCTGACTGAGTGGGCCAGTGCCGTCCCGACGTTGATGAGCTACGTCGTGCCCGTGGGAGTGCTGGCGGCTAGCGGCGAGTAGATCGGTCACCCACCCGACCCGTCTTGAAACACGGACCAAGGAGTCTAACATGTGCGCGAGTCAATGGGTCTTGATCAGGCCCAGAGGCGCAATGAAAGCAAAGGGCGGCGAAGGCCGTCTGAGTTGGGATCCTGGGGCTTTCGCGTCCAAGGAGCACCAACGACCCGTCCTTTCCGATTTACCTCGGTTGGGCGGAGTATGAGCGTACACGTTGGGACCCGAAAGATGGTGAACTATGCCCGGGCAGGACGAGGCCAGAGGAAACTCTGGTGGAGGTCCGTAGCGGTTCTGACGTGCAAATCGATCGTCAGATCCGGGCCTAGGGGCGAAAGACTAATCGAACCATCTAGTAGCTGGTTCCCTCCGAAGTTTCCCTCAGGATAGCTGGCGCTCGAGATTCAGTCTCATCCGGTAAAGCGAATGATTAGAGGCCTTGGGGCCGAAACGACCTCAACCTATTCTCAAACTTTAAATGGGTGAGAAGTCTGGCTTGCATGACTGAAGCCCGGACAATTGGATGAGAGTGCCCAGTGGGCCACTTTTGGTAAGCAGAACTGGCGCTGTGGGATGAACCAAACGCTGGGTTACGGCGCCCGATGCGAGACGCTCATGAGACCCCATGAAAGGTGTTGGTTGCTCTAGACAGGTACAGGTACCTGTACTTCGAACAGGTATTGCTCCCTTACACTAACCAATCTAGAGTTGAACCCTCCATGAGTCTAATGAGGTGTAGTTTATTAGGGGACGGGGGGTTGGAGATTGTCAGTCGTGCATGCCAGGCAGCGCACCCATTCCAAGCCCAAAAGCAGGCCAGGGCCACACCGACCCCAGCTCCACCATTCTCCCACCGGACAAGACTGGGCCCGCGCGCTTTGCTGTCCTTCGGGATCGGAGGGCTAATTTATTTATTACAAAAGGAAGAAGAGGTTACATATTATAATAAATACATATATACAATATTATTTACAGTGCTTGGAGAACATGTAATTTTGGTTTACAGATGGACACTGTTTTAGTCTTTGGGTGTTGATGGAGTGTTTAATTGGTGTTTGTGTAGGAGCCTTCTAAAAGTTTTTCATAATTCAAGAGTTCATCTCAGTCCATTGGCTCTTGTGTATAGTGGTGTTTTGGTGTTATATTGGTGTTAGTGGTTTGTGGTGTGTGGGCCTTGTGGAAGAGTTTAACAGTCCATTCAGTTGTTTCACAGTTCATTGGAGTTGTGGATTTGGTGTGTTATTGCCTGGATATTGCTGATGGTGATGGAGACACAGAGCATAGATCCAGTCCCATGTTGTTAAGTTTGTTGTGTAGCTTGTTGAAGGCGGTGATGAGGTGAGGGAGTTTGACAATCATTCTTTTGAAGGCTGTTGTTATTGTTAAGGGGCTTCGTATATGGAGTTCTTGAGTTAATGTACATGAGAAGTGGTAATGATCGGCGTTTCCGGTTTCTCCGCAGATGCACATCTCTGTGTTGGAGAGGTTTCTTTTGTAAAAGTATGTGGGGTATGGTCCATGTTCTGTGAGAAAGCTGGTGAGGGATGCTGTTGTGCTTTTGGTTTCGTTGTTGCAGGTAGGGAAGATTTCGTGTGTGCGTCTGCCGGTTGTTGTATTGTCCCACTCTCTTTGCCAGATATTGAGGATTTGCTGTTTAATTTTGTTCTTAAGGTATGATGTGGGAAGCTTGGCATTGACAGGGAATGATTCTTGGTTAAGGGCAGCTTCTTTGGCAAGGTTGTCTGCGATGTCATTTCCTTCTATTTGGTTATGGCCTTTAATCCATTCGATGGTGATGCTGTTTATTGGAGAGGAGATGGAGTCTTGGTTGATTTGGAAGGCTATTGGAGATCTATTGTTTGGGTCTTTTATTGCTAGAAGGGCGGCTTGGCTATCGGTTTTGATAAGGAGGTTGCTGATGTTGTTTTCAGAGGCTATTGCTATTGCATATTTTATGGCTGCCAGTTCTGCTTGGAATACTGTGTTATTGTTTTTCAGGAAGCCTTTCCATTTAATATCTTCTGCGATGTTGTTTTGGATGGGGATGTAGACACCGCAGCCAACCTTGTCGTCTATTTTCGAGCCGTCTGTGTAGGCTATTGTTGAGGTATTGTTCCGTTGTTGACTATTGGTGATGGGAGTGAATTTTATTCTTGTATGTGGGGTAGCTGGATGTCTGTTATATGGTGGAGGTTTGGTTTCGTATTCTTGTGGATCATAGCTGATGTCTTCATGCGTTATAGGATCTTGGAGTTGGGAGATGGTGGAGTATATTGCCTCATATGTTGCTTCTAGATGGAGTGGAGTTGTACCTGCCAAGATGTCCAGTGCCGAGTTTGGTGCTGTTTGGAATGCTCGTGTTATGTTCAGGGTGAATTGGCGTTGTATGGTGGTTAGAATCTTCTTTTTTCTTTCTGTCATAGGTAGGGCCCAGATTGCTGCTCCGTATGTTACAATTTTGGTGATGACTGTTTGGAGTAGAATCTTTGTTATGTGTGGGTTGAGACCCCAGTTTGTGCCGTGCATTCTGCGGAGATTTTGGCTTATTTGGTGAGTCTTGGTCTTGATGTTCTGGAGATGTTCAATGTAGTTCAGTTTTTGGTCGATCAGAATTCCTAGGTATTTGATTGTTTTGGTGTGTTTTATTTTCTTGCCATCCATCTTGACTGAGATCTGTTTGGTTAGATTTTGTCCTGGCTTGTGAAAAGTGATGATCTTTGATTTTTCCGGTGAGATTTTGAGCTTGTATTTGGTGCAGTGGTTTTTGAAGATTGTAACGACTTCTTGGCAGTGTTTTTCCAGAATTGCGTGGGTACGTCCTCCGACGACAAATGCTATGTCGTCGGCGAAGGCTGTTATTTTTGAGTGTTGTGGCCAGGTTTGGTTTAGGATTTCATTGAAGGTGAGTACCCACAGGTCAGCACTCATACAGGCCCCCTGCGGGCATCCTCTTACTTGTTTTCTTGTGATAATGGTGTTGTTGTAGAGGATGGTACTGGCTCTGTTCTGTAGAAAGTCATTGATGGTGTTGTAGATATTTTGGGGGCAGTTGGTGTTTCTCAGTGCATGACGGATGGCGGGCCACCAGACCGAGTCGAAGGCGGATTGGAGGTCAAGGCTGATGATTGCTGTGTGGAGGTTGTTGGCTTTATTGTAATTAATCTGTTTGATAATGGCTGTTATGGCGTGGATGGTGGAGCGTTGTTTTCTAAATCCATATTGGTTGTTGTTGATGATGTAGTTTTGACTGTGGAGGTGGTACTGTAGTCTTCCAACGAGGCAGCGTTCCAGGATTTTCCCGATGGCAGGGAGGAGGTTGATGGGGCGGTATGATGAAGGTTCTTCTGGAGCTTTGTTGGGTTTAAGGAAGAGGATAATTTGTCCTGTTTTTAAGCAGTCAGGAAAGGTGGCTTGTTGGATGCATCTGTTTACGAGGTTAAGGAAGAGGTTAGGTTGAGTTTGATGGATTAGCTTTATTATTTTATTGCATATGCCATCGGGGCCTGGTGCTTTTTTATTGTTTAGGTGCTTGATTATCTTGGCTATTTCAATTGCAGTGATTGGTGGATCATCTATTGTTGGTGGTGCCTGGTGGTTATTGCGAAGTTCTTGTTGGGCGGGATCATCGTCTTCGGGGTTATCTTTTTGCATGACAGAGTTTAGGATAGCGTTGAGGGTTGTTTCTGTGGTTGGAGAGGTGCTGTTTGGTTGGTTCGTATTTACATGGAGTTGAGTTGGTGCGAAGATCTTGTTAGTGGCTATTCTGTATAGGGGACCGTAAGTATCTTGATTGTTGGAGCAGTATGTATGCCATGCTTTGAGTTTGGCTTGAATTATGCATTGCTTGTAAAATGCTTTTTGTTTTCTATATTGTTGTAAGTGGTGGTTTCGTTCTTCATCTGTTTGGGGAATTTTGATTCTTCGGTCGTAGTGCTCTTGTTTTATGTTTCTGTATTCGAAGGTCCTTTGTCCACCAGTTTATATTCTGTAGTGGTGTTGAGGTTCTTTTCTTGAAAGTACTTTCACATGTAGTTTGAATTTTTGTGATAAGCTCTTGTGTGATGAGGTTGATTTCTTGTTTGGTTGTGCAGGCTTCTATGGAGTTGTTGAGATCTTCTATTAAAGGTTTGATTAGGCGTTGAAATTTCCTTGCTTTATTGTTGTTAATTTTGAATCTGGTGAACGTACTTTGGAAAATTTCTTCTGAGATTTCTAGTGTGATATATTTATGATCTGACTCTGTGTGTTCATTCAGTATATTTCTATTTTGGATCCGATTGGCGAGATGTGTGGTTGTTAGTTGGAGGTCTGTCCATCCTTGCGTATAAATGTTGTCAAATGAGGGGGGGTCAGACTCTTGATTATGCAGAATTAAGTTGTTGGCGTTGATGAAGTCAAGTATTTGGGTACCTCTGGGGTTAGTCCGTTGGTAGCCCCAGACTGTATTTTGGGAGTTGAAATCTCCGCTGATGATGTGGGGACATTGATGTTGATGAAGAACTTGGGAAAGAGTGTTGAGTGCTGGAGTAGGGTCATCTGTTGGTGCGATGTAAATGCTTGTGATCATGAGCTCGCTGTTCTTGGTTTTGATGGATATGGTGATTATGTCTCGTTGGCAGGTGATGATTGTTGGGTTCCATCTGTTGCTTGTAAATATTATTGCTGCTGCTCTTGGGGGGGTTGTATGGTTAGTATTATGCTGTTGTATTATTGTCCACTGTCTTGGTATGCGAGCCACTTGTCCATGTATGCAGTAGGGTTCTTGGATGGTAATGAAGTCGGCGGGATTTTCTTGAAGATGTTGGGTGAGTTGGTCATTTGCAGTTTTAGCTTTTTGTAAGTTTATTTGTAGGAGCTTGATGTTGTTGGAGTTTGCTTGAGATGAGAGTAGTGCGGTTGTTGGTAGAGTAGCGTTGTGGTCCAT